AGAAACAAAATAACTCAACACATTTGTCAATAGCACTCTGGCCTTAAAAGGAAAAAGTATATCGAAGGTGCCGTGTCAGGCAATGGACCTTCTTCACAGCACGCAGGCCAGAGAAATAGAGTGGATACGAGTGGGACACGGCACTTGGAAAAAATATGTGTTTTAGCAAAAGTGTCAAACCTGTGTCATTGTAAAATTGTCTTATCAGACTATTCTGTTTGCACTTTCATCACCAGCCATTATATTCTTGAGTAAAGGCCACTCTAAGTCATCTCCACCGCTCACAGTCCTAATCGTGTTGTTGTGCTGCTGCTGCTGTTGTAACGTTCTGACCCGCCCCTACTGGACATCTGTGCAAAAGAGCTTAACAGCTCCTCGGGTTTCTCCAGGAAAAATACATATTCGGATTCTGTTTGCACAAAGGTGAAAAGTGCATAGACTGGCATGTGCATGTTTGTAATCCCAGTACACTGATAGAAGAACGAGGAGCATATGGATAACAGAGAGCATACACAAGTCAGAGAGACGTAATATGGGCCGTTCGAAAAAGTGAGTTTGGAAAGCACACATTGGTCGTGGTTGATTGCCAACAGAAGAGATTGGTGATTCTGCGGAGATTATCCCAATGGAGATGAAGTAATGAGATCAGCTCGATGTGCAGGAGCAAGATGGATCGTAGCACCGTAGGACCATGAAGGCTGACTGTGATGTAGAGAACCCTCCATTCAGCAGTGAATAGGTAATTACTGCTAATGATTCAACTTTGCCATGAAAATTCTGAAAACACTTTGTACTCACACGATGAGTATTTATCAATTGAAAATAGGGCACACGTTTAATAGCATCGCATTATATTTCTGACTTTGCACAACCCACCCACCCACGCACCTACCCACGCACGCACCCACGCACGCACCCACGCACACACACACGTACCCACACACGCACGCACGGATCCACCCACGCACGCACGCACGTACCCACACACACACGCACGCACCCACGCACGCACTCACGCACACACACACGTACCCACACACGCACGCACGGATCCACCCACGCACGCACGCACGTACCCACACGCACGCACGTACCCACACACGCACGCACGTACCCACACACACACGCACGCACCCACGCACTTTCCCATCGGACATTCCAAATGTGCGCATGCAGCGCGAGCATCAAAACCCAAAAATCCGGCTGACAAACGTGCGAATAAATAAATAAGCGGACATATAAATAAATAACGTCGATTTCACATGGCGTCACCATTAGCATGCTTCCTGTTTTCAGCACAATTAGACGCGCCAAGTCATTGGCGCGAGTGTCTGGCTGTGTGAATGCGATCTCCAAGCAGGAACTTCTCCCTGCACCCCTCTACCCTCCTCCTCCTCCTCTCCCCCCATGCCTCCATGCCGCTCCGTTACTCAAGGGAACAGCCACGGCTGGTGGCCGCGGACCGGCCGAGACGTGATGGTGGCGTTGGTCCTGATGAGTGCCCAGCTGCAGCTTCTTAATTAAACATCGTTTTCCCCCTGCTGCCGCTTGGCAGCCAGAACTGTACGTTTATTTTTCTATTATTTTGTTTAATCTAGCTTACGTGTCTTTCTTTCTGCTTATGCTGCGCATTTATATATGGTGTCATTCAGTGGCGGCTGGTGATATTTATTTTTGGGGGGGCGCATTTTTTTTATTTTATTGAGGGGGGCAAATAAATATAAAGCAGTACCAAAAACCATTTTGACTACTTGAATATAAATTTTGATGATCTTTATTTACATTTCAGACCAAAAGAAGTACCAAAAAGCATGTTTCCTACTTGAACATAAATGTTTCTCTTTTATATACATTTCAGACCAAAGTACCAAAAAGCATGTTTCCTACTTGAACATAAATGTTTCTCTTTTATATACATTTCAGACCAAAGTACCAAAAAGCATGTTTCTTACTTGAACATAAAAACGTTAGTTTCATGCTATTATCAATATGGCTGCGGCTACTTTCATGACGTTTGCATTTGTCAGAGAGATGTTTGAGGTCTCTTACCCCCGTCGTTGTCCACAAAACTTCAGTGCCGACACTTTGAAATAAAAGACAGGGAAAACAAAAAAGAGAATTGCTAACATCACATCCAGCCAGCCACCTCCGTTTCTCATAACAAGCGCGGGTGAAGCTTCGTGTGTAGCTTCGTCCTCTGTCACTGGCCTGCTGCTGGATTTGTAAATCGGGTTGGTCCGGTCCGAGATCCTTTATCTTTTTTATTTCTTCCAGCGAAAGCCTTGTGAAAGGGTTTTTTTGTAAATAAATTACAGAATTTGGATGAACTGCTGCCATTGTTTACACAAAAAATTTGATCAGCCTAGCAAGTGTCAAAGTGGTGTCGCCTTCGCACTCGCAGTAGTGGCCTACAGCGTAAATTTGAATGACAGGTGACGAGAACCAATCAGATTGGATAAAATAACATGTATCCAATTCTGATTGGCCAGGGACGCAACGACTTGCGCCCCGAGGAGAATCTTTAAGAAACCAATTAGAGACCAGCTTCAGGTCACATGCTGTCCGAAAATGTAAAGTCTCACATAGACATCCATTTGTCCGGCGCCCCGCATGAAACACATTGAAAAACATAGAAAATAGTTGACCGATTAAAGCCAGTTTTTATTAAATGCTGATGCTTTTCTTACTACCAGCCGGCACATCGTATGAAAAAAATATTTTATTTATGTATTTTTATATAAATTTTGCATATGTATATTTCTTGAATATTGATGGGGGCGGCGCCCCTGCGCCCTCTATTGACGAGCCGCCACTGGTGTCATTACGGTTTCTAAAAAAATCCTTAAACTACAATCGTGTTAACGTTTATTTTAAAGAGAAATTGTCTACATATTGGCTGCTACTCATTGACGCTTTTTTTGGATGTTAGATATTTTTCTGATTAATGTATGTTCATTCAGTTACAATTTGTGTCTTTTGCTATTGGGTTTTCGTATCTGCTGTCATTGTAGTTTATTAAAATGAAGCTGCAATAGTAAAAAAAAAACAATATAAAGGTTAAGTGTCTAGACATGCTTTTTATAAGTACTGGCTGGTACTCATCAAGGGTTTATGTTGAAGTCCCCAGTAAACCTTTGCAAAGTGGGAGGTCACTCCTTTCCCTCTGCTGCCCGTCTCGTGTAAATCCCTCTTCCTAAGTCATCTGTGCTGGCGACTCCCTGCGCCTGTTAAGTCCAGGCGCAGTATATTCTTCTCTGCTTGTGGCTTGCTGTCCCTTCAGCAAAAAAACCCTCTATATTTGTACAGATCCCCCCCATCCCCCATCTCTATAAGCCACAAGTCCCACTGCTTTGCACAGCATCTTGACATGCAATTTTGGTTGCATTTAAACACTGCAAATCAAAGCGTATTTTATTATACCTCCTTTGGCAGTCCTGAACTGACGGTGGAACTTCAGTATTTCTCTGGTAGCAGCCTTACAGGAGTTGAAAACGTTTCGTGGAATTTATTTTCGTGGTGTAAATGTGTTTCATAGCTTGTAGAGCTTAGGCTGTGTCCTCCCCCCCCCGATCTTGGGAAAATCTGAGAGTGCCAAACAGATGGAAGACGACATTTGACATGTGTGTGAGAAAATGTATAGTGCACTCATACATACACACATACCTCCCTATTCTATTTGACATCGTCGTCCTTGACATCATATGGTCGTTGCGTTTTGTTTGCTTGACCTAAAACAAACGTATATATTTGAATCTTGTGAAAAAAACTTCTTTGGGAAGTAAAAACAAAGAAGAGAGCTGTTGGCAGTCTGATATTATTATACTCAGTACTGTAGCATTACATGTAAGTATGTTGTACAATATATACTGCTCTCGATTTATGTGGATTGTGCAATTTCGCGGCTAACATATTTCTACCCAAAACTCGCTACGTGCGGGTTTAACTCACTGCTTTGCGGCTATGCGGTCGGACGTGGGACACGATTGTGGGCACTGCACTGGATGCGCGACTCTGCAAGCAGCTGTCCCGTGCGGTGCAATCTCGCTTTGTGCGCCCTCATTTTGTGTAACTCATCTCCCGCATAAAGCGAGGGAAACCTGTACTCTCATTTTTATTGCGTGCACACGAGAGCCTCGAGTGAGATTCGAGACTCGCTCAGGAGCGTTCCGCATTGGACATTTTTTAATTCCATCAGTGAGTGTTCGTGGCTTTGCGTGAAAGAAAAACAGAGTTAATGGTGGAAACGAGGAGGTTGACACTGGGTCCTGCTATTCGCAGGGCCACCTCGTACACCCCACGTGACACCTGGCGTGCCCTGGTGGTCACCAATACAAAACGTCATATTAGGTGAACTCAACTATTTCTTGTATTGTATAAAAAAAGCCATCGCACATTTAACCCAGGAAAAACATTGAGTGTGGAGCCGTTTTTTTCCGAATGGTTCTACGATGCAAAGTTTGTCAAGTTTAATTGGAAGTGTTGAGGATGTTGGAGGGCGCTGTATTACCCAGAGGAATGCTCATGAATGCACGAGTGTAACATGCAAATCTCTGCACTGATATGTTGAAGAGTGTAGCATGCAAATCTCTGCACTGATATGTTGACGAGTCCATGACTTCCCCACTTACATCTTCATCTCCCCCCTGTACGGGGTCCCCACTTGGCTGGAGCAGCGGCCCTATATCCCCCCCCCCCCCCCCCGTTGTGTGCTCACGTCGTACCGAATTGTATTAGACGGCGTGATGTACCGGGGCTCACGTTATGTTGCAATAAAAACATATACCTACAAAAATAATTCATCACTATGCTGCCATCTCCTAGCCACCTCAGTAAAATGCATATTGTGTGAGAGCATCAAGACAGGCCGAAGGGTCCGGCACACACACCAAAGGAGGGGAATATGTTTGTAATCAGAGAGGGCTTGACCGTTAAACTTACGTAACAATTCTACTCACATCATTCCCACTTTCTTCCATCTCTCCCCTTCCTCGCCCCCACAGCAACGTGGCGCGTGTGTCTCTGGCGCCGGGCGGTTCCGCGCAGACATCGGCACAAGCGCGGAGCCAGCAGCCGAGGCCACGCATCACAGGGCGCGACGCCCCCGCCCAGCAAGTGCACCGCCAGGCGCAGCCCCACATCCAGGCCCGTCCGGGGGCCCAGGCCCAGCAGGCCCAGCAGGCCCTGCCCCAATCCGGGCCTCGAGTGTTGGCGGTGACCCCCGGGAAATCCTCGGCTGGGCAGGCGCCGCAAAACGATCAGCCAATGGACGCCACCGCAAGCAACGGTGAGAGTAGCAAAGTCGAGCGTAAAGGTGCAGCCCAGAAATGTACTGGCTCGCTTTCACCACTGGAAGAAGGGCCTCGTTTAGAGGGAGCTCAAGCGCGTATTTGACCGAGTCGTCCGCGATGGCCAATAATCCATCGTGGGAGGAGTTGGGAGTGCTCACACTTCACCCCCCACCACACGGCACTTGCCAATTGACTGACGTTCCCATTCGTGATATCGCTGGGTGGATAGAAGCAGAAGTTCTGACCAAGTGTGGCCGTCGTTTCGACTGCAGCACTGGGAGATTGGATCGAACGTTCAATGTCCGCATTTTAAGTCCAGTGCTCTAACCATAACACCACAGCAGTGTCCCTGTACAAAAGCACATGAGGATAAAAAAAATAATTTTCACTGTCATTCATGCAGTGGTAGAAAAGTACTGTGTTTTTGCCAATCTTTGGCAAAAAAAGTGCAAGGTTGCCTCTTTTTCTCCCGAATGGGTGGTCTTTAGTGTTGATCAGTGTTAAATGGGGTTCTACACACAATAACCAGACTGTATTTGGTACAGACACAATGCTGAGGTTGCCAGGTAAGTCAGGGGATTCATGATCGTATCTCAAGAACACTGAGATGTACCGCAGACAACGTGCATTGCCTTGAGTTGTACCTCTTCAAGTACTCCCGAGATCACCGTTCACCATCTCTGCAAGTTTGTATTTGATGAGTGTGTATCCTGAGAAATCTCACATGTTGCTGATGTTCGGGTACGTGACCTTTCTTGAAGCTGCTCACCTTGGACCATTTGCAACCTCGCTTTTGAAAAAGTTAATGGAAACATTTGACACGGGACCAATGTTCTGAGGCCTGTTGCTCGTCATCAGCTCTATTACATTGGCAAGCTAAGGCATTGGACAATCTGAATGTAGATCCATAACACACACAATGTCATCCACTTCTTAAAGGCGTAACCTTGTCAGGAATCTGAACCTAAATTACGTAGTTGGGATTAAACATCGCAATTGCCACCCCTGCTGTTAAACTAATGCTCCAGGTCATGCTTGAAAATGAGAGTATCTTGGTCTCTTGAGTTCTGCCCTGGTTGAACAAATAGACTTAGTTAGAACTAGAACCTATGTCTTATTGTGTCACAGATCTTCCTCACCCTATGCAATTATTATCACTATGCTTGTTTAACCAGGAAAGCCTCAGTAAGTATTAAGACACTTTATTCAGGAGGGTCTTGTGAAGTCTTGGCTTTAGAGGGAGGGATGTTGCTATGTGTAGTCCAAATGTAGTAATTTTCAGATATTTTTCCAGCATTGGGATGTTTGGCAAATCCCAGTTGCACTGCATGGTTTTTATTTTGTAGCTATGGCAGGAAACCAGAGAACCCAAATGAAACCCACACGTGACAGGGAGAAAACACAAACGCCGCACTGGAAGGTGCCCGCGTCACGCATCGAGCCCAGGTCCGCTTTGCTGCGAGGCACGACGGGTGTCAGCTCTGCGCCATCCTGTCGCCCAAATACGTCTGGCTCTGGTGCACCAGGGAAAAAAGAGCAACAAAGAACTCTGGGCACTCGCGTCATTGTAACCCACGTGCCCCTGCTTCTCTGCCACAGGGCACGTTACGTAAGCGCCACTGCCATTCACGCCCGCCAAATTGAGTCCCATCCAGCTTCCACCGCTGCCACAGAGAAAGACGTTATTTTGTTCAAAACACCAAAGCATTTGGAAACATTTACTATTTCCAGTTCAGTGTATTTTGTTGAGCAATATATCATTTGTTAACATTGTTCAGGTCGCTAACAGAGCCTGCAAGGGATTTATAATTACAGTTGCTAGCTTGAACCTTTTCTGCGAAAAAGAAGTGCATGAGGTACATCTTGTTGCAATACATTATAATTGCTGTCCTAAAAATAATAAGATAATAGTTTTCTCCCACTGAGGCATTGATTTCCACTTTGTGTCATAATTAATCCCATGTAGTTCGTAATCGACTCCAGCGGTTTTGATCACTGTGTTCTTTCATCTTCGGATGAGCTCACAATTGGCCTGTCCACACACAATAAACCCGCACATTGTTGCACATTATGGCGGGATTTAGGAAGATTACATATCCACGGACAGCTTAAGCGTTAAAAATTTCCACGCGGGGGAGGCGAAAGTCACGTGACTTGGCGAGGATGTTGCCCATTAAAGTGTCCAATGGCACCGTAAATCTAACGCCCTTTCAAAGCGACTTGAAATTCTTCGAGGTGAGGCTGCCGATAGCAACGGAACTGGGAGTCGCGAGCTCTGGCCACGTGTGGACAGCAGGCCTGGCACCTTATCGAGATGACAGGATCAGCAATTGGGCAGAGGCATCTCGATGTGAATTTGGCACGGCAAGTGATTGCCAATTGGCTACTTATGAAGCATCCAGGCCTAACAATGTGGTAGATCCGTAATCTGTTCTGTGTGTCAGCGGATCTATGCTGAAGGGAATGACTGTTTGGAAAAAACATTGTAAGATTACCCAGTTGCAAGTTGACCTTAAGCATTATGATCATGAACAGTACCTGCCACGTCGATAGAAAATAATAAATAAATAATGGCGATATCACGAATTCCTGAAGTCACGGAAGCTTTAAGTCAAGTACATACCAATTTGGCTAAAGATGAAAGATTTTAGCCAATGTGATTTACCTGCCGTGACATATGATCAGAAACATGGCCATTAACAAAAGAGAGTGGACACAGCTGAATGAAGGAAAGATAAGGGTAAAGTACTACTATTTAAATAATTAATTGCTATTTCTTTTTGTCTATGCATGTAAATGAACGTCTGATCACGTGAAGATATTACTGCATACTCTTATCTAAAATAGCTACCCAACTGGTAGCATGAATACGTATGAAGACATAGTCATTATTTTTGACATAAAACTCTTTAGAATGCAATACACAGCAGAGTTCTAAATAATTAAGCATGTTATGGATCACTGCAAAGTTGCCTAATTAAAACTGACATGTTAATGATTCTTAGTATCCTGTGGAAACACGGAAGACATAGACCCAAACTAAGTCTTATTCTGAAACTGGAGCATTCAGTGGAAATGCCCAAGACTCGATGAACCGTGGCAAATCATATTTGGCGTTCGTAGAATTCTGCGGAAACACCCAAGCGTCAGAGCCAAGCTAAGTCATCTTGAGCATTTGTAGAATTCGGAAAGAAACACTTCATAGTAAAGGGATGCTGCCGCCACAGTAGTGTCGTGATAGGTGCCGCTGGACTCGCAGCACAGAGGCTTCCGGTTCAACTCAACCCCTGACGCAGCAGTCTCGACAATGGCCACGTGGGATCATCCCGCCTCTGTGCCGCCAGCAGCATAAATGGGTTAACCACAATCTAGACTAGAAGATTTGATGACGGTCGCTTGCGTTGCGATCGAAACGTTGCGATTTAATTTATTTTATTTTATACCTACGTGACTTTAGCGAAAGAACCAAAGAAAATGGGTTAACCACAGTTAGTCGGTCAGTCGGTGGCATTTGGTTGGGTCAAGTGCGGGTACCCCGACTCCTGCAAGCCTTCTGGCCAGTGTGGAAAAGCGGACAAGCACTTTACCTTCTAGAGAGGTACCCAAGAGGGCTTGTCGAGAGCTCCTCTTAGTGGAGGCTCTTCTGCCAGCAATGGCACGAGCAAGAAATTGCGGGGCTGCGCCCTCACATTAAATCAAGAGGACCAGAGGCAAACCTCAGACGATCTCCGGGAAAAACAAAAGTCCTGTTTGACTGAAGCACTCGCAGCCAGTGTCTGCTCGAGCCTCGCTCCGATTGTAACGGCGTGCGGCTCTGCGCGGTGTAGGAGACCTCACGATGGGTGCCGCGCCAGTCCCGCAGCGCATCAAGGTGGTGTTCACGCCCACCATCTGCACGCTGGACTGCTCGCGCGGAGAATGCCGCCACAGCTGCTCCAAGGGCAATGTGACCACCCTCATCAGCGAGCACGGGCGCATGATCTACCCTCCACACGGCTCCAGGTTCCGCATTGGTGAGCCAGCGACGGGCGGGCTGTCGGCATGGATATTTTCTGATGTGTCTGACTTGAGTATCTGTTGTCCGTATGCCCACTTATCTATCTGTCCATACATGTGTTGGTCATACGCATCTGTCTGTCCATTAATGTCTTGTCTATTTTTGTCTGTCTCTCGGTCTGCATTTGCCTTCTGTTTGTTTGTCTGTTCATCCGTCCATCCACCATCTGTCTGTTTGTCAGTATGTCTACCTATCCGTCTATCTATCTGTTTGTCCATCTGTTCATATGTTTGTATTGGTGGACCCTTGAGGGTCTTCTCCTTGTCTGTCTGTGCCTGCCCGTGCGGGTCCGTCCACCCATCCCATTTTATCTGGGCATCCGTCCACCCGTCGGTGCCTCTATCTCTCTGCGAGTGTAGCCCGTCAGTGACTTACGCCGGAGGCTACAAAAACCTTGAGGCTGCCCCCTTAATTTGGGGCGTCTCATCGTCGGGCGCGTTTTGTGCGATTGTCATGCGCAGCATGGCTAGGCCCCCGGAGTGGAAGGAGGATCGTTTTGGCAAACAAACATGAACACTTTTTGCCGTCCTGGGCGCTGTTGCACGTGTCACGTATGTGTCACGTATGTGTCACGCGGGAACACCACTTGCGTCATTCAGCGCCAGCCGATTTAAAAGTACAGGTCGCCTTCAAACTCGCGCTCGTCGCCACCAGCTACATTTAGGGAAACGCAAACCGTGCTCGCACAAAGGGGTCCCTGTGTCCACAAGAGCCGAATTGGTTATTGCTGCAGTCGGCCCAGGCGCATTTACTCTGTGCTATTATTTAGACTTTTTTTAGGAATGTTCGTCAAAAGTGGCAACCCCCATTTGTCACGATGGTTAGGCCTCACTTAGTGAGGAATGGAAAAGCGTTCACCTTAAGAGGCTTTTGAAAGCCCCCGAGATCCTTTGTCAGCGTAGAAAAATGAGGCCGCTACAGTGGTCTCAAGGTCTCGTAAGTGTGGTATGCATACGCATGCCTATTACCCTAATTTAGAACATTTATTGACCGAAAAGTCAAGGTCTCATACCTCGTTTCTCTACGTGTTTGTGCGCACACACAAAGATGCGTTTTTTTCCCATGAACGTGGCCAAATTGTGAATGGGTGAAAGTTAAGCGCATTCCTATAACTCGGTGCCCTTTGAGAATTATGGAGCTAATTTTCTGAGGCATATGCCTGCTAACTTTACTATGCCAACAAACCGGCGAGCATTAAATTCAAACCAACTAAACCTTTGGCCCCTGCGTTCTTTGTTTATTATTAATTGCCTGAGCACACACCGGCAATGAGCATTTTGACAGGCACCGTGACAAAAGCTTAAACCTTTTGCTCCTCTCTGGGAGACTTTCGTTCTCTCAGCCCCCAAGCTGCGAGTTGATGTGCCACCAATACTTCGTGTCCAGGAAGATGAAATGAGAGCTCTCGCTCGACAGAGGTGACTGATGTTTATATCCAAAGAGGGGCAGTCAAAAAATGTATGGTGATCAAGATATGAATAGCACGTGCGGCTTACGGGATTAGCTTTACAATTGAATGCAGTACTATATGATGTAGGAGTAGTGTGACGTTACATTATTTGTACAAAAATGGGGATTCTTTATGATATTGTGACTCTTTTCTTTTCACGTTTCATCTCAAAAACATTCTTAATGCAGTGTCCTGGTTCACATCGGAATGTTTTTAACATTCATTTGTATTTTATAAACCTGTTGAGAAGTCATAATTGGTCTTAAGGAGAGAATGGTCCCCGCCTTAGCAATACACAATTACCATCACTGACTTAAACTCGGCCCACCAAAGGTGACAAACACCACCCAATGATCGTTTAAGCATGAGAACACTCAGTTCCTGAAGGTGCTGCCAACATATGGAGCGAAATGTCGGACATCAAACCGAACAACTTGCGGTGCAACACTTAAACTGTTCACTTTGAAGGGAATATTGCAGAGACCTACGAATACATTTTGTCCCTCTCACAAATGTAAATTCGCCGCCGATGGGCTTGCAGCGTTCCTCCACCCCGCTGGCCACAGGCATTTCACCTGGCACAGCACTCGCGGCTTGTGAGAGACAGCAGGTCACCACGGCGTGCCCCCGCAGTGGGCCACACTCCGCCTGTGCCAAGCAAGCCGCTAAGAGCACGCGCGGCGCGCCTGATGAATCGCCTGTTGACACGGGGAAGGCTGCGGTTTCCTGACGTCGCTTCAGCCCTCCGCAGCGAGGGCTTGTAGCTGTCTTGTAGCGGTGATTTAGAGCGGCACTTTCACGGGAAGGTGAACCCACGTGAGGCGAGAGGAGGGAGGCAATATTGCTGCCAAAGAGGCAGCCGGGCCCGTCGTTGCTCTTCCGCGCTGTCGAGGGATAGATGGGTCATAGCCCAATAGGTATCTCATTCGTTTTATGTCGCGTCTTTGCCATCATTCAAACCGTGAGGAAAAGTAAGTCGGCTTGGGCGTGACGCGTAGCTCAAAGGGATTATGATTGATGGTCTAAAATAATTTGGCAGCCAAGGAATGGAAAGCATCCAAGGGAGCGATCGAGTGATGAAATCAATTCCTGAGTCGGTGCTCGGGGCATCATTGTGCCACAGGAGAGGAAGAGATTGCGAAGGCTTGGGGAGGCCTTCATTGATCATGGTTGATAACGACTGCGTGTTTTTGTAGCAAGGCCTTTGTTAATTACGAATGGTGTGTGTTTTGTTAGCACAAGTATATCACTGTCAAAAAAGTGTCCAATATGGAAACCCTGAAATAAACATTCGTTAAATAATAAAGTTGTTGTTTTTAAAGTTTTAAAATAAAACTTGAGCTAATTTAAACTATTGTGGGTAATATTGATGCGTCGGTGTTCACAGTTGTGCTGCATACAAGCTTCGTGTTGACGTCACCGCCACTTAGTGGCGAATGGCGGTTGTTGTTGTTGTTGCTGTTGTTGTTGCTGTATACATCCCTCCAGTGTGTGTCCCTCGTCGTACCGCGTGTTGTTTAGCAGCGTGATGGGGCAGGCCTTTCGCCCCAACGTACTGACTGACGGCTGTAAACCGACTTCAGTTTCTGAACAAGCAGAATTTCAGTTCAATTTTCAAAGGAGCCCTCCCGGCATGTGGAGTGCAACGTCGGACATCATGCCAAACAGCACGTGGTACAACTTGAAAGTTTGAGTTTATTTTATTTGTTATAACGAAATGGGTCCTGTTTAGCCAGTTGCCCAGCTATTTTACAATTGAGATCCGTGGTGCTGCCGTGAGCACAGCAACAACCGAATGAAGGCAGACACATCGACATTGCGCAGAGGGAGTACAGGCTCCACAAGGAGTATTGCACCGGTAACAAATGAAGTATGTAAGGGTTGTAAAAACGGAACACGCGAATAAAAAAACTGTATAAATATAATTTGAGAGCAAGAGACACCAGTAAAAGTTAGGTGCATGTGAAAGTAAATTCAATATTTTAGTCTAACAGTGAAATGAACACACGTGAACCGAAAGAGACTGTGCAAAAAAAATATTTAGAGCTACATTGCTGGTAATGTTGATGAAGTTGATAGCTGAACATTCAAAACCATCACCTGGAGATGATTAATGTGGATTCCCCAGTGCTTTAAGGTATACAGCAAAACGTCGTCTGCAGCATGAAAGGGCATTCTTAGAAGAGATAGGTTTACCTTGATTTGCCTCTGTTTAAGACATTCCTCGACTAATGTGCCTCTGTGCTGTCTTTGGGCTCTGGGTCAGGTCTCAGTTGTTTCTTTGTAAACCAACAACTGACAGCAAAACCTTCCACAAATGCATGACTTGCAAGCAGTTTTCATTAGGAATTTAGACAAACAATCTTAAAAAAACATGCAATTGTAGGAAATTATCTCACGTAATCCAGACTTACGTGAAGTGCCTTGTAAGCCCAGTATTATTTTTAACTTGGCCCTTGTTAAGTCTCAACACAGGACATTGATTGATTGATGCACACATACTTTCTTTGCCAAAATAACCTTCAAACCCCTTCACCATGATGGGTTTCCTGTTTTAGTTTAACTTACACATTCTAATTCATATTCTTCAAATGCTGAACAATATTATTGCACCAAGCCACTTAATTATTTCATAACAAGAATCATGACAATGTACAAACCTTCATCAGTCCGTTGCTGGATGAATACCTCCTCGTGCCACGTCGGTCTTGGACGTTTTTGACCATACTTCACCGTTCTGGTCAATGCAGATTGGCAAAAAGGAGGCAAGGGCCAGTTTCAGATATAGTTCACCAGCGAATACTAATCCGGTTGTCAGAATGATTGTGTCGTTTTCTGACCACTGCGCAGCTTTAGCAAACTGTGTGCGTACACGCTTGAGACATTGAGACAATTGTGTGTGACATGGTGTACCGTTATTTTCATATTTGGCTTCACTCTAATGTGTGTTTTTGTTTGTCTTTGTTGTTTTTGTTTACCACACAGTGGTATGCTCAATCCCGTGTCAAAATGGGGGGCACTGCATAACCAAGGAAAAGTGCTTTTGCAAGCCCGGATACACGGGCAAGTTCTGCCACCTTGCCGCTGACCCCAACTCAACGGAAGTGGCTGACGCGGGCAGTAACGGGTGGAAGGGCTCTTCCACATTCACCTTTCCGCTGTCCACTCTCGGAAATTTCTCCCAAGGTAAATATGTGTGCATGTGTACTGCGTCATGTGGGATGGAGCTTGCGGTGCAGTGGTTAGTGCACTGCACCACTAATCCAGCAATCCGAGTTTGATTCACGTCCATGGCTAAGATCAGTCCCGATTGGTATCAGAATAAACCCTGAGTCTCCCCTAGGTAGACTCAGTCTTAAATTAGTATCTATTCAAGTGGTGTGTGCAAACATTAGCACAGGGGAGCCAAAGATGGCCAGGTGTGTTGCTGGCTACACCATCCTGCCCCATGTATGTGCCCACTGACAGCACTTGCAGCAACACTCTACGAAGGCTACATGGGGGAATGTTAGTGTTTGTTTAGGGTTGACCCACACCATCTGCGTCTGTCCTGTGAGCCTGCCATGCCAATAAGCATTCACCAATCTATATGGCCTCAAAGAGCACGACATGGCGATGTCACAGCAGCCTACAGGCACATTTTAGCAGCCTTTGTTGCTGTGGAACCTTGTGAGTGTAAGGAGTGGTGGCATAATGGTTGAATCACCAGAAGACAATCCTAATGACCTGGGTTTGAATTCTGTCTAGGTACCATTGCCATCATCTGGCCTCTGTATTTGTAATTATTTCCTCAAGGTCAACTTTACCATCAAGATACATAATAATAAAATTTATCATGCAGGTTCCCCCTTATAGGACTGGAGTGGATACATCTGCCCAGATGGTGTGTTTTGGTTTTAATATATTATCCAAATTTATCCGTATTTCATTTGAGGCGTAATTATTGCGTGCTAGCCCATTGTGGATGGTCTCTATAATCTTTAAAGTTTCCTCCGTATTATTTGCATATAAATCGTTGTTCTTGTATAGCACCTTGAGATGCTGTCTGAAGGATTAAGACGCTATATATAAATCAAGATTATAATTGTTGTTATGATTAATAATAATCATAGTTTTACAAAACAAATTCAATACCAAAAACTGTCCAAAGGTGATTATATCTCGAGATGCTATACACATAGGGGACGACATTTCATGATGTGGTGGAGGGTTAATGACAAGAATTTGGCATAAAACTACTACGTGGCCTGCCACACGATTAAATATGGGTAATTGATCAGCAGTGTTCCTGTAATGATAATAATTTAAATTTATACAGCGCCCTTAAGCAATCGTTCTCAGGGCACTGTTATCGAGGCTCGTGATCGAGTCAGTGGATAGATTCAGGAGTCGCCTCCTGGTAAATGTCTAAAATGCTGCGGGGGATGGTTTCACGAAGGCTGTGCGTTATTGTGTGGTCTATTGGTTTGAGGGTTGGTGGCTGCACAGGTGAAATGGGAAAGCCGGGTGCTTGGGAATATAATGTCGGTGCTGATTGAGACATTTGGCGAGATGTATATGGCCAACATTTGTCTTTGAAACAAACTCTTTGCTTACATTGTTTGAGAATCGATTAAGATTACAACTATTGATATTACAATGATATCAATGAAGATATGGGTTTAAAAAGCAAACTATAAAAGCAGGTACCGCAAGTGCAGTGCAACGATTACGAAGCAAATAAAGTTATCAACCCATGGTTAAATCCTTTCAAACAAACTACCTACAGTCAGTCCTAGGAATAGGAAAACACGAAGGCCTTTAAGAGGCATTTGCAGCAGATCGTCGGACATCATGCCGAAAAATACGCGGGACAACCCAACAACACCGTGGAGACACGGCACAAGCTGTAGAAGAGGAAGGTCTAAAGCCACACTCCGACAGGGGTATATCGTCAGCAGTGCAGATGGGATGGAGCCAGGGATCAGTTCCAAACAGTATGGGGCATCAGCACAGAAGGTGGGATCACCCACTGAATGGAAGTTGATTGGAGGCTTTGACAGGTGGCCTTGGTTTGCTGCAGTGAAGAGCATGTGGCAGAGAGTCTTAACGATTTTCTCAGGAGGATTCTGACGGAATATGTGGAATGAAGCAACAACAGTAAATGTGTGCGTCCAAATCACACAACGCATGTTTGTTGTAGGGGAAAGGCTATTGCTGCCGCTGTCAAAACTTAAACAGTTCTGTTTGGAAAGTCCTCAGTTGCTGTGCTGAGATGTGGACAGAAAGGCTGTCTAACTGTCTATTTAACTTACATTAATCGCTTTTAATTTAAGGATATTTTTTTAATCACTCCACGTGTTTAGCCCCAGAGGAGAGAAACCAAACTCTAAAACTATAATTTTCCTAATTTTCTCTCCTCGAAGGAAGTGGCACATACTTGGGCCATCTGTGGTGCCATCGCGTTACATTTGACGCCTGTGTGGTCCTCTTAGCCTTGCAGGCCAACTGTCCGCTGCCGTGTGCGGCATATCATGTTTCTCCCGCTGTATGCCAGAAGCAATTTATACAACTTGCAGCTGCCACACAGCTTACTGCGCATTGGAAACAGACACCCCATCACCAGTGTCTGATGGCTCTGGTATTTGAAGATGAAATGACTAAGAGTGATGGCAATTGCAGACTCTAATGTCACACAGTATTCAGCAGAGAATGAAAGAAACAACCACACACTACAACATGAGTTGTATAGGAATCTAAACCCCATGGGCTCGTGAGCTCCCTATGAGTGTGCAAATGCGCTTATAGATTCTGTGATTAATATGGCTGTATCACTGGACAAAATCCCAACAGTGGCTAGAGTATTTTTTAAAGTTGATGTTTATGCATGTCAAATTCCTTTCAAGCAAAAGATGAGTTTCACCACATATGGTAAAACATAGATACATCTTTCAAAAATACTTGGACAGAAATACTTGGGCAGACCAAGAAATCATATTTTTTTGGCTCCAAAACTGGAGTAACCTATCGAATTGCACGTGCATTGAATAAAATAAAATTAATTATCCACGTTTAAAGCAGGTAACAGTGAGTGGAGATGCTTGATCTGTTTGCAAGGGGAATCTCGCTGATCATTGTATTCCTGACGCGAGGGTAATGTGATGATGGGTAACATTTCAGTTTGGCACGTGGACTCTGCCACGAGTACACGGGGCCAAACTCAGCTAAATGGGCACCTGCGGCTGTCCTCGTTGTGGGGGCCCTCTGTCTATATTCGGTTCCTTCCCTTGACGTTTTTTTTCCACTTCCCACGACCATTTTCAAACACTCCATTGTTATTCGCCTTAGATATTTTAGCTCCAGCATTTAAATGTGATGTACAAATTGTAAAACTGATTGCAAATAAAAGCAACAAAAGTATTTCAATTGGGGTCTATATCGAGTCACAATGCGATGACTTTAATGGCCGAATCGCCATCAGCATTCATCACGGTGCTACTGAATTGCATTTTCACCATTATAAAGCAGTCCACGTATTTTCAGTCACCCCTCAGACTGTGAGGGCCCCAGGGTCCTGCTTGAATCTGGCCCCGCGGCCGGTACACAGCAGCCTGATCTCGCAAATGACATCAGCGACACTCAGGAACGCTTTCCCTACTCACTGGTAATCTCGATCAAGATCCAGACATGGCACCTCCTGGCTTGGACCTTCCTATAGGACACCGGTAAACCATCAAGCGCATCAGAACATCAATGACAGTGCCAATGTGGCCATTCAACGCCATTAACCACGTGGCATAGCGCCCTAGTCTGCGCTCCTTCGACAGAGGAGGAATATCCAACCCACATGAACTCTCTCCTGAAGTCCTCCCGTGGCGAGCAGACCTCGACATTGGCATTTAGCTCCTGAACATATTGCCATGCGCGAGCAGAGAACACTGACTCTGTGTGCACACTCACTATGAGGTCATCCAGCCCCCTCGATAGGCTGATAATTAATACATATTGGAATTTATGTTTTACCAACCAGAATATTCTCTTATTCGTATTATTCTTAAGTTCTCTGGCCCAACAGTAGGTTTATGGTTCAAGTTGCCTCTTCCCTATCCCATTCAGCTCCCCACTCCTCAACTCCGTCCAATACTTTCTGAGCGATAACTGGAGAAGGAAAGAGACACTGATGGTTTCCACTGGCCTTCTTCAACAGTGGTTCTTTTTAGGTGACATCATCGCTGGATGAAATTTAACATCATACCCACGATAATAATAAAAAATAACTAACACCTGATCAAAATGTAGCAGAAATCTTGACTTGAAGCTGTGACAATTGCTTGTATTGCGATCGAAACGTAGTAGTTTTTCGATTTAAAGCTTTCGTGACTGCAGGGATTCATCAAGAAGGTAGTAGTTTTTGATAAAAAAAAATGTTCTATGTGACTTTACCGAAAGACCCAAAGAATGAAATTGGAGCCGGTTAACGTATTCCTCAAACTTTCATGTAGGAATCCACTGAGATGAACATTTATTTTGCAAGCGTACTTTGGCAACATTTACACACACACACATCCATGAAGTGTGTTTATATCTGAACAGCGGTGTATTTTGCATGTTGAAGAAGTGTTGAGTGGAACAGTAATGATAGGATCTACAATTTTGACATATAACAACTCATATGGCTGGAGACAAAAACCGCAAAAATTCTGACAGTTTGCCAATTCTGTATGCTGTCTTAACATAGCAAATGTCACCCACGTCAGTTGAGCAGCTACAACTTTTTACTGTGTGGATTGTGGAGTCGGCATCACTCCTATTGGTATTGCAATAGTCAGGGCTTAATTCCTCATGGAATATTTCCTGGGGGGCCTCAACGTGTATCCCCTCCCCCACCTGCGACGTTGCCCCACACCACCAGACACTGGGAGGAGGAGGCGGGGTCAGAGCAGGGACATATTTTCCGGAGCTCAGCCCTGGACAACTCGCTTCGATTAAGCCCACAGAAGCAATTCTTGAACTGCACCTCATCCCATTAGGCACAGATGCCTAATGGGATGGCGGTGGTGGGGGGGCGGGGGTCACTACGTAGACTGGTGTGCCAGCTTTATGTTTTTCTTTTCTTTGATGCGGCTGATGCTTTTAAACCCCTCTCGGTGCAAATTTGCCATGAAGCTTAAGAGGTCACACATTTGACCGTAAAAAATAAAAATCCTTGCACCGAAGCATATTTTATTTCTCTCTCTCTTTTTTCCTGAATCAACCTCTAAATTTTCCAGTGATTCTATTTCGGCGATCCATATGGAAACCATTTCAGTTATATATTTTTTTTGCTTGGGAGAGATCATATTTGGTGACAGCTGCCTTGGTGGATGGGACCTATCACACAGTTCTTTTAATTGATAGCTGCGGTGACCACACTCAAGGCTGTGTTTTATTTCAGCAGTTTCGTTCTTGCTTATTCTTGGAACTGGAATCTGCACTTTGTCATGCTTGATAATAGTTACCGCATTAACCTTTCCCTTTCCAAAACACTGGCTTTGTGGTACCTTTGCTCGATGTGTTTTTTTTTTGGAAGCAACTACTTAAATATCTGAACTCACAAACACAGTTTAAGGTTCCTGGAAATTAATTGCCGGGGATCCAAATGAGAGCAGGCGTGTGCTAGGAGAGATTTCTGGGAAATCTCTCTGCCTTCCATTGCACCTATCAGTTATATTATATTCTTCATTTTTAAATCAACATTTGAGAGATTCGGTATAAATATGGAACACAATTTGGCATGCTGGTTTTTTAATTGACCACGAGAATGTAGATCCATTTCCACGAAGTCACTATGATACAGGAATTGTAAGTGTTGTGGCTTGCAATGGAATTGCTTGCTTATGCCACTGCACTGCTGGTGGGTGGGGGCCTACATGAGAAGGAGCTCTAGAGAGTCCCGCCAGAGAGTATTTGTCCCACACTGACACAACGTCTTGTAAGCGGTATGAGCTACCCACACTTTACCCCAACACACACGACACGATTATCGACGAACTGTGGCGTCTCCATTTATTTTGATGGATGTACAGAGGTTGTGTCGGGGGACGTGCATTTAAGATACTTGCCACCATCGTTTCAACTGCCGCGCCTCGAGATCGAACCGGCGGCCTTTGGATTGCGAGTCTGGCGTGCGAACAATTACAGCGTGGCAGCATCCCCTGTGTTTTGCATAGCTTGACACAGTTATAAGTGTAGGATGATAGTTTATTTTTACCATACATGTATCCTCACACAATCGAGCAGCCTTGCAGCACCACTGGGGAACTGTTCATCGCACTCTGAGAGTGATGCCAGTGCTTGTGGGAGACTTATGGCCTACCCCACCGATTCGGCATGAAGCTGATCTTTTTAAATAATGTCCGCGTTGACCCACTTTACATTATGGCATGGTGCCTTAGCACATTCCAAAATCTGTGTTTTAGCGCAATACATAGACGTGACCGCGTATGGAAACGCTTTCAGTTATTCAATTGGTGGTTGTAGAAGCATTATTTTGACACCAAATAAACAAGGACAAATATACGTTCAGTGTATATCAAATTTAATTTAATTCAATTACATTTTGTTTCATATAGCGCCGTTTGAAAATGACCATCTTACGTCAATTTACAAGGTCCGCAGATGAAGCTGGTTGTAATTACTGGCGAAACGTCGTATTCAGATTGTAAATGTTGTGGCTTGGCTCTCCAACACACCGGTGTGCTGTACTAGTATACTACACTATACACTACACTACTATACACTACACTATACACTACACACTAGTGCTGTACTAGTGACGAATTGGCACGTTCTGTTTACGTGACAACCCTTACTAGTTGTCTGTGTCGGGTGGTGGCGGGTTTTAACGACACACTTATATATTTATGCGATCTAACCCCAAAAACCTCTATTATGAATCAGGCGAGCGATATGTAAACCCGTTTTGTTCCTCCATATTCACCAACCTGCACTGATCAGAGTGGTGAAGTATGGTCAATCAAACTGCTATGACTGACCACGGTGTGGGGAGGCATTCGTCCAGGAGTAGATTCACACGGGGGAATGTTTTACGTATGCATTCAAATTTGCAAACTGACGTTTGGGCCCATCCTGTGTTCACGTCCAAGCCTCCCTGGCCAATCATCCGGACCTGGTGAAGGTGCACGTGAAGCACCCTTCGGAGGCGTCGGTGCAGATCCACCAGGTGGCCCGCTTCTCCGAGGACGTCACGCTACAGCAGCTGCTGGCCGACAAGGCGCCTCACCCCGAGCCGCACGCGCCCCAGCCGCAGCCTCGGCAGCAGCCGCCGCAGTTCCCCCGCGTGGCGCACCACCAGCCCATCCTGCGCCAGGAGCCGCCGCCGCAGCAGCCACACATCCAGTACGTGCAGGACAAGAGCGTTGGCGAGCTGGACAACCAGGCGTTCCACCTGCCGGGCTACGAGCAGCCCAGGATCCCCGCGGCCACGCCGCCGCTGGGAAGGTGCTTCCGCGAGTTCAGCGGCGACCAGGTGACGGGGTGTGGGGGGAACAGCGGGGGCTTTGTTATTGTGGGGGAGCAGCCGGCTGGGCTCTTGCCACGTTCCTTATTGTCGTGGGTTCGCACTTTCAGTTGTTGCGGTTGTTTTGCCGCATCAACATTCAAGATGCACGTTGCTTCTTGTTGATAATGTCGGTTGTGGACCCAGGAGGGCTTCAATGAGTCGCACGTTTCTTGCTCAGCAGGCGGGTTCTGAATTCGATGTGTGAATGATACTATTGACGAGTGCTTGCTTGGCTCCATGCGTGAGGAAGCCAGAGTATTCAGAGAAAACCTACAGACGTGAACACTCAGAATTGCGATATCCTGGCCACCTTTACAGCCCCATGACCACAACACCTGAAAAGCCCTGGTGGTCACCCATCCAAGCACATACTCATCAGATTTAATCCTGCTTAATATCCGAGATCTGATGGGATCAAATGCATGCAGCGTGACATGATCATGTGCTTCTCTGCGAGTTTCCTAGATGTTTTAACTTGTTCTTCTTCCAAATGTTATTTTATTACGATATCAGCATACTGCTACGAGGTGACATATACATTGGGAGCCATCTCGGAGTGGTGCATCAAACCTTGCTAGAAAACAACTAAAGGAAGAAAATATTACAAAATTACTTCTGAGACTCATATAAGTGGCATAATTTATCCACACACTTGTGGGTGGAATTCCCACCTACCCGACTGTAGATTTACATAATATGACAACGCCATAGTATTTGAGCTTGGGTGTGTTCAAATAACGTAAAAAAAATTGCTTGATAGTTTTTTATATTGTGTGCAGCCGCTGATGACCACTACGATTGGTTACCTGGATTATTCATGGGCAGATACTTCCATTCAAACCCAAGATCTCAGCAGTGCCAGCTGAGGGGTCAGAGTTGAGGGGTCAGAGTTCTGACCCCTCAGGCATCTGGCTACTTCCTTGAGTCGACCTTTTATAACCAGGACGTTGCCAGCTACAACTGAAGGAAATATTGTGTGTCTGTGGAAAACATAACTCGGGACCATTCGCATTTATTCAGGGGATCATTGCCAGGTGGATCCCAAAGCAACACATTTTGGATTAGAATCAGGCATGTGTTTACTTCTTAAGGAAACTTTAACATTCGCTGAGGTGGGTGTAGGAAACTTTTCGCTTTAATTTGTTCCTCTGTGTCCACCGGGGGTGGCCGATTGTCTCATAAGATGCTACTTTGAGTGTGAACATGACCTTCATGTGGTCGTCTGGTAATAACGGAAGCGGTACCCAGAGGATCCCTTTCTATCAGTAATCCGTAGAAGGAGATTGAACCTTTGAAGAGATGAGCGAGCACCCAGGAGAGTTTGGGATACTTTAATAAATTGGGCATGTGTGACACTGCCTGGGGATTTGCGCTGCATTTGAAATATCGGTCCCAGAATGTGCTCTGCATCACCAGTATACATTACTGTTGTCAGTAGATACTCATTCATAATGCGTTTAAGTCCACGGTGATGATCATAACAAACCATGGTGCTATTGGGAAACCGGCCAGGCAAACCGTTTCCTTGTTCTGGTACTTGGATCGCGCAAATGTGATGTTAATAATGTTTTTTGTGTGTGGAACATATGTATACGTGGTGTTTTGGAGACGCAGTGGCTATCACACTGCGGCTATGAACCCAGTGACCCGAATATGAATCCCAGCCATGGCTAACATTGGTGGTAACTTATATGTGAGCTGGTCCTGGGTTCTCTCTCACTAACCAGCACTGACCAGCATGCTGAAGTGCAGTTAAGTAATTATATTATTGGTTATTTCGGTACAGTCACGTAGAAGGGAAATAATAAAATGATAAGAATAAAGAATAACATTCTCACGAGGTTTCGATTGCAACACAAGCAATCATCATCAGGTGTAAAAACAACAGCAAGAAAAAAATGTCTTGCTGTGGTTACCAAAAGAAGCAAGAATTTGAATCCCTGCAGTCACGAAATCTTTTAATCGAATGGAAGGTAAGTAAATTACACGAGTGGCAATTGTATGCCGAAAACACTCTGTCCAGCAATGGATTTCACAAACAGCTGTAAATTATCGCTTGTTAATTTGCATCAATATCTACCTGTACTTTTGGCTGTTTCAAAAGCTTAAACATTTTGCTGGGTTTTCTTGAGTAAAGTCAAACCTCAAACTAAAGTCGCTATCAGTATTTGTTGTCTCTTTGTGCAATTCATTGTGAATTAAACATCTTTAAAGATTCCATCCAACTCGCACATTTTTGCATTCCTCGACTCTTGATCTCTCCACTCCAGCCAAAGTAAATAACACAGGAGTGTAAAAACAATAATGATGTTTATTTTTCCACAAGAGCTTTGTTGATTCTTAAGACTTTCAGGAGGGCTCTGCATTGGGATATTTAGCCAATCTTTTAATAGGTACTTAGCGATTCATCTATCATATGAACGCACTATACTGTGCTAGATATTAGTTGTAGTGGGGGTGATTTTAAGAATCTATTTTTTGTTCCGATTAACATTCCATTTCATGGTCGCACCTCTAGTGGCTGCAGGGGTTACGTGAACCCACTGCTGACAGCACATGCAAATAGAAACACATTGACGTGTACACGTGCCATCCTGTGCATGTGTTGTGTCCTTCAGAATGAATATTAATCAATGAATCAACGTGTCGTTTACACACCTCAATTAATATCATAAAATAGTGTCGCGCATTAGATATGAATGCATGCACATCCTGCACAAAGCTTCAAACTCATGCTAACTGCTGCAACCGTGAATACATATTGGTGTGAATACATATTGGTGTTTTATCAGGAGTTAGTGATGTGTCAGTCTCCGTGTGAGTTGAGGTTTGTTGTATACCCGTTCCTTGTATTGCTCCCCATGAGCAGGTACCACTCATTGCGAGCCAGCGTCCATGCAGTCAGCATTGTGTGTGCTGCAGGGACATTCTTATGCCCCTATTCTTAGCAATGGCTTGGCTCAGGCGTGGCTGTGTCTCAAATGAGCCGACTCAACTCAAGTCGTCTCGAGCATAGTTCCAGCCATGCGCAGGATTTCCACGAGCTCAGCCTGAACCAAATCTGGGCTCAGTCACTCTTGACGTCTTTGCAAGCAACTGAGCGACTCAAGCCTGAGCTGAGCCGTAACTCTAAATATGGCCCTTCGTCTCGTCGACGGCGCTGCTGAAGTCTCAGTGTGCGGATCCTGTTCAGTTATTCTCTCAGGCTGGTGAGGCCAAGTGGCGGCTGATGTGGGGCTGGGTGGTGGAGATCGATTGCTTTGTCCACGCATCGTAGTTGTTGTTGAATATTCGCATCGCTAACCTCAAGAGAAGTGCCACTGTTGTGAACACTCGAGCCTCACGGAGCGTGCACGTGTGTGGCGGTGCGCGCGTGCGGCTGCAGTGTCTGAAGCCGCTGCTCGGGTTGACGAGGCAGGACGACTGCTGCGGAAGCATCGGAGCTGCGTGGGGAAGCAACGCCTGCACACGGTGCCCTCCCAAGGCTGGTGAGTGGTTTGTGATGTTCGAATGCACGAGTGGATGAGTGGATTCCGTCGTGGTAAAATATTTATTTAAGGGCAGACCAGTGTGTACCACTATTAACATTATCTTCATCATCAGCCATGATCAGTCCACTGCTGGATGAAAGCCTCCCCGACCCACCATAATCTCTCTTGATTCTGCTACTATATGGAAATTGCAACATATCTGCATTGTGTAAACGATTTTGCGAAAATTTCACCATTAAATCATGCCAACATTCAGTTATGGAAATCCATATTTTTGTTTGGATTTCGTCCAACGTTTATCCCTAGGGCCAACACTCCTCTTCAGCAGAAGCTTTGTGGCTCCCAGCAACCATTGTTGATGGCTCAGACATTCTGTGGGCCTGACAAACTCTGCCAAGCCTGAAAAACGAGATGTTGGCAACTCCCAAACAGCATGGTCAGCACGGCCGCCTGTTGCCACGTTCCACCAAAAGCCATGAGAGAGAAAGCGCCACACACTAGGAATCTATACGCACGCTGAGGTGGTGAAAGGAATGATGGCAAATGCTTCAACCGTCGAGGCAACCTCGACAGCCCATCCCCAGGCAAGCGTTGGGAACAAAAACTTTGCGTTTGTCGTCAAAAGCACATCGCAAGCCACGCACGCTCCTCACACTGAATAAGAGCTGGCATGTGACGGCACATTTGGCTGTTGGCATCTCCTGTCTTTGCTGAGAGCTTCTTTCATTGCTGGCATCTCTGGACATTGGCAACGTGTAAGAAACTCATTCGAATTCAAGTGTCTCTAAGTGTCTGCCTGTTTCTTGGATCGACTCAGTACAATGTCAATCTGTCGTGAACATCGCCAATTGGTTTCCTGCATTCATCGTGGATGTATTTAAATGAATGTGTGCACAGCAATTATATAAGACCTGTATTCGCAAAAAATATTATTCTAACAATATCACTGTCGGCCATGTTCTATCCACTATTGGATGAAGGCCTCCTGATGTCATGCCCCACAGTTCCACGGTGCCTTTCTTCATTTAGATTTGAATCTAGATTTTAAGTTTTCGTGACTGCAGGAATCCATACTCTTTGGTTCTTTCGGTAAAGTCACGTAGGTATAAAATAAAATAAATCACGACGTTTCGATTGCAACACAAGCAATCATCATCAGGTGGAAAACCACACCAATTTTTTTTTTTGCTGAAGTGGGAGAGAGATGCCGGGGTAAGAGGTTACATAGGTAAGAGAGTAGGGAGGGGCAAGGGGGGAGAGAGAGGGGAGGGGAGGGGAGCGCTGCGTGGACGCTAGGAGAGGGACGTGAAGCTGGACGGGGGGAAGTGGGCGGGGCTGGAAGTGGGAGGCCGAGAGAGCTGGGGATGCGGGGGGGGCGGGGGGGTTAACTCGAACCAATAGGCCAGTACCCGCACCCGGCAGATATGATAAAAAGCAGTTAGGGTTTCACCTGGTTAAAAACATCCTTCCAATGATTGCTCAATTTGTATCCATCTTCTCGGTTTAAGTTATGTCTATGTTTATATATCTGGATGGCTTCATGAACAAACCTTTGATAGTAGCCCGAACGTTTGCAGAGTGCCTTGGTCTCGGAAAACACAATATCATGCAAGCCCACAGCGTTATAACAATGGGCAGCTACGGCAGAGGTATTGGTTCTGCCGTGTTTCAGATCTTCCTTGTGTTCGCGGACACGGTCCGAGACATGTCGTTTCGTTTCCCCGATGTAACTGCTGCCGCCAGGTACAGCTCAGTTTGTAACTCCAGGATATTGCATGTCAGCAATGACATCCTTTACAGATGGCATTAGATCACGGATTTTGTGTACTGTATTGAATCGGGCCTGGATCTTGTGTTTGTTTAAGATTTTGGAAATATTTTTGGTAACATCTACTATGTATGGTAACATGATGGTTTTGATTGGCCTCTCAGGGGGTTGTTTCTCCATAGTTGGGGAGTGAATTGTTACAACCCTATTGGATATGTATTGGTGAGAATGTGTGTATACACAAGCCACAGAGATCCCATATATACGAGTAGCTGACAGAGGCTGTTTGGGAAAGTGCTCTCAGCGAGCACCTATTCAGTCTAACAATGTGCACCAAGGGGTAGTGTACCAGCACCATGCCCAGCCACCTTTGTCTCCCCTATGATGATGCTCACACACCACACGAGGTACTCGACAAAGGCTGAGTTAACTTTTAGGGACCCAGGACTGCTTCTGATAGCACTCACTACTGACCTTAGCCATGGCTGAGTAGACTGCACAGTGTATATATACACACTGTCTACACTGCACAGTATATATATACTGCACAGTGTACACAGTATATACATACTGTGCAGTGTACACGGTGTAGACTGCACAGAATGTATATATATATCAGCATATAGACATGCAAAGTCCAGGCAACGCTTCTCCCACAAGCCTTCAACCGACTGTGGGGCTCAGCGCGATCCGGGGGCACCGGTGAAGGCCGCACACTGCGGGAGATGGCGGCTGGCCAATACGACCCCATCCGCCTTTGTCTCCCGAGTGCTGATGTTTCCACACTGCAGCAAGTACGCAGTTAATGCCCAGTCGACCTAGGCGAGGCCCAGGACCAGTTAAGTTAATAGCACATGCACTAAGAACTGTATCACCGCTTCCCACAACATAGACAAAAGACAAAGATCCCCCGTATAGCCTGTGACAGACTGTTGGGGCAAGTGCTGTTTGCGAGCACCTATGAAGGCCGGCACGTCTACACGAGGGGGTCAGTGGCCAACACCTTTGTCTCCTAAGTGGCGAAGTCTACGCACCACACTAGGTACAAATTTGAGGCTGAGTTCACCTAAGGAAGGTGCAGAACCGGTTCAGATAACCGTTACTGGTGCTGGCCATGAGCGGGAATCGAACTCGTGTCGCCGGGTTCGTAGCGTAGTGCGCTAACCGCTGTATCACCACTCCTTACATTACAGACGGACACGCATACACACACATCAGCTGAGTGTAACATCAACATCAACAATTCAGCTACACTTATTCATATGACTTCATTTATCTTGGATTAAAATTAAACACGTGTTCAATTCTCACTTTTATTAGTTTTTCCTTAAACTTGCTTGTTACTTTTACTGCAGCCAACGAGTCACATTAGGACACTCAGCATTGGATGCGTTTTTTTAATTCAGATGGAATTCCGTAACAACAAAAAAATCCCCCTCTGCTTCTTTCATCCAACAAGCGCTCTGCATTGTTTCCATTCTCGTGGTCACCACTGACGACCCCCCCCCCATCATTGGCTAAAGAGCAGGGCCCTCAATGCTGGCATATGGTAATTGCCTTCGTACCTGAAGCCAAAAGTACAGGCGCCTAAATTCCGCACAGCGGGAGGTTCTGGAGACGTGAAACCCTTTCCATCTGTGGGGACCACCCCCTCTCTGGCCAACGTTACATTGAGGCTATGGGTAACTCCGCCTTACGTAATGCCATACCTCCTGCTGCCACGGAAATCCCACAAGAGCTGTTAGCGAGCACCTATTGAGGCCACTGTGCCTGGCCACACTTTTCTACCCCCCGCGGTGGTGATGTGAATACATTACACCAGGTCCTCATTTAAGTCTAGGTGAGGGCTTGCAACAGGAGTAAAATACTATTTGACACTGATGGATTGTGTGGCCAGAAATTGGACCCGGGTTTTTAGGACCGTAGCTTATTACTATCGGCTACCATCTACGATTGATATGCACGTGTACACGTACTCGCACGGCAATTTTAATGCACATGCATACATTGACACATACACAGTAACAAGAACAAAGACAAACATCTCCCAATAGCCTCATAGACTGCTGGGACAAGGGATGTTATTGAGCACCGATTTAGGTCAGCCACTGTGAATAAGGAGGTAGTGTGGCCAGCACCACGCCTTTGTCGCTTTGGTGCTGACTTTTACACACAGAATGTCGACACACTGCACCAGATACTAATTTAAAGTTGGTTCATATATCACTTGCCACTGATTTTAGCAATGGCTAGGAATCACACTCAGTGCAGTGTGTTAATCACCGTACCATCCGACATGTCAGCACACACATATACACCGACGCAAACACAGACCAAAGTTAACTGCTAATTATTGGCCTTTTGTTTGGAAGTTCAAATTTTTTGTCGACAACATTGTCTTCATTTTAAACTAGGCAAGACCTACAAGTCTGAGTAATTGCACAGTCTCATCGTGTTCTTAGTGTGTTCTATACAAACCCCTATCCCTACACAAACCCCTATCCCTATGCAAACCCCTATCCCTATGCAAACCCCTATCCCTATGCAAACCCCTATCCCTATGCAAAGCAAATCGGCGGAGCAGAAGTTTCAGTGCATTATTTGTGAGACGTCCATTCTTTTTCGATTGACATAAATGTGACGCATCGCGTGTAAATCTATCCACATTACTTCTTTTATTCACTCCGCACTTCGGGAAAGGAGCCTGTACAATGATAAGGGCTTTCAATGGAAATCCTCTTTTCCAATTTTAGGCTTTTTTTCAGCCTGACATGTCGACGACTTTAGCAGCAGATTCTTGCTTCAGGTTCACTGTCTTCATCTGCTAGTTATGTTTCATCCCCGTGCTCAATTTTGATGGTTCGGCCAAAATTAAGATGGAAATCTGATCCAAAGAGTAATGGTCGGCTTAGCATGCTATTTGAAGTGCATTGCATAGATATGTACGAAAGCATTTGGAATAAATGACATGGGGACTGGTGTTTGTATAGTGGCCCGGTGGTTTTGTCAAACTGCTTGGATTTCAGTAAAATACTCTGCTTTGGTTTTGAAGGCAAGCACAAAACTTGCATTAGTTGTGGCTCTTTGGGTGCTGTCACAACTCATGATTAGAATCAGCTGTTAAAATGGAGAATTTCAAAGATTACAAATGGCGCGTTTGGAATGTTGTGTTTTTCGTTATTTGATTTGAGGCACGGTGGCGCTCTCCAGTCATCAAGGATCAGTGGAT